GGAATATTGATGCTGGATATTCAACAGCAAACCCTGTGCTGGCTAAGCCAGTGCACTCATGCTCTCTGAAACCAGCAATAAGGCTGCTTCATATCATGATAAGTATTCCTTACTGGTTTGCTTTAAAACCACAACAAATCGCCTCATTTGTATTGTTTCGAAAACAGGTTGCCGCTAATCATTTACCAGACAAGACGAGATACATTGTCACCCTCCTAGAAGACGGAAACAGCTAGCCAAATCCTAAATTTCCACAATAATCTACATCTCAAACGATAACCACGCTGGCTAGTCATTTTTTAAGACATGAACAAATAATTCATCGGTTGCTGTACATGTCAATTCATGCTTGACAACACCCACCACCAGCTACCGCTTGCAGCGGCCAGCTACCACATGCTTCACCAACCGTGCTGACACCCGCAACCGCCTGCTGCTCGGTCGGAACCATCAGCTGCGATCAGTAGCTGGCTACTGCCTCTCAACCATCAGCTAGCTTTCTGTAACTGGTCGCTACACTGTCCGCCATCAGCCTCTGTCTGTGGTCACCTGCCGTCCTGCTCATCGCCAGTGAGCGCTGACTTCGTCTGCAGTTACCCGCTAACTTGTTTGGCAAAAGCCGTCGTCTGCAATGGCCTGTTCCTTTGTCTGTCACCAGCTGCTATTCGTGACCGTCTGCTTCCATGTCGCTCGCCGACCACCATATGCAGAGGCTTACTTATCTGTCCGCTGCTAGCTATAAGCTGATATTCGTGAGAAAGCTACGTGCCAAGAAAGCTACACACCACTCCGCCGCTGCCTGTGTCGTCAGTAGCTGCGCTACCCTCTCGCCAGCCGCTGTCTACATAGCTGTCAGCTGCACTGTCCGTCACCAGCTGCCGACGGTAATAGCCTGGCGTCTGCGCCAGTTTTTGTCGCCGCCGCGCCGACCATCTTGGCGTGTCGGCGACGCGCTGCCGTCGGGGGAGGGGGCCTTTGTGAGGCAGCCAGCCGCAGTTCGATCAATGGTGGCGTGGGGGAGGGAAGAAGGGAACGAAGGAACGCAGGGGCAGAAGGAAGGGGACGGAAGGACCCCGGGCAAGGAAGAAGGGAGCGGAAGGACACTGGCTTTAGGAAGAAGACGGAAGAACGTAGGGGAGCGTGAAAGAGAACGAATTGACGCAGGAGAGGGAATAAGGGAACGAAGGGACTCACTAGAGGAAAAAAGGGAACGAAAGGACGCAGGAAAGGAAAGAAGGGAATGAAGAAACGCCGGGGTTGAGAAGATGATGATGATGATTTGGGGTTTTAAGGCGCATCGACTGCTGTAGGTCATGCAGCGCCCATAGTTGAGAAGAAGAGAAGGAAGGGACGTAGGGGAGGAAAGATGGGAACGAATAGATACAGGAGAGGGATTAAAGAAAAGAAGTGACGCAAGGGAGGGAAAAGGGAAGGAAGACACACAAGCGAGAGAATAAGGGAACGGAACGACGGCATGCATGGGAAGGAAGAAGGGGACAAAGGCACTTGCTGCATGGCTCTGATGAAGTAAATGTCTGTAGTAGCAAATGTGTGGCATATTATTGTGGATGGTAGGCTGCGGATACGTGGGCAGGGTTTTCCCTCCTACAAAACACGAATCAAAAGACCAAAGATAGATGTAGATACGCACCAAGGTCTACCACTGGCTTTACAAAGATTTTAGCGTACGTTACACGCAATGATTGCGAAAAGATAATTCCTGATTGTTCTCGAAGTCATATTTCCGGAAACCCCTTTCATCCAGGGTTCAATGCCGAAACATTCGCTGTCAAACGAAAACGTGCAATCCTTCTGAACGATGTCTGGCCTCCACAGCACAGCCTAAGTCACGTGTGGAGCTTTCCACACATTTGGATTGGCTGCAGCACTCGCCCTCCCTTCCCCCCCCCCCCCTTCGCGGCCCAAACTTCCTATACTTTAACATTGGGCCCACGGGCGAAGTGCAGAAAGGACTGTCTTGGCATCTTAATGCGTCACCAGTGACTCGGAAACACTACCCCTGGGCTCCATATTGCTGCAGTATCGATGACGCTTGGTGAGAATCGCATGACGTGAATAGTATGCATACGAAACATTGCGTAGCAAAAGTAACAACGCCACAGGTTTGCTTGCCCGGCTGGTGCTCACGCCGCAGCCGCCCTCGGCCCGCTCTAATGCGTAATTACCTTTAATAAACCCCGCTCTAGGTACAGTCGGTGTGGTCAGAAGTACAGTCATTGAAATGTTACGTGAGGCGGCTCAAGTTTTAGTGGTGCGCCCAGCTCGTGTCCACGGAAGCCACCGCCTCTGCCTGCTAAAAAGGCAGGAGTTGATCGATGATAGTTTTACCCGCCAGTATCGGTTTCAGTAATGCGGCCAATCAGAGCTTTTTGCTGAGTGCAGCCTCTGCATTGTGGGTGGCGGGTGCACAATACTGGGAAGATGCTGAAAGAATTCTGAAATATCTCTTACGTGTATCATGACTCCGTTGTCTTCTCCCGTCTTGCTTGCGAAGGCGTTGTTCACTCAACGAACTTCCTTAGGTCGCTGATTGACGTAGCATGTTGCATGTTACATGTCCCATATTGAGGGGCCGCGAGTAACTGAAGTGCGAGAACGTTATAAGGGATTCGTACAAATTCCGACTTCTGACTATTTTCTGTTTGTTTGACTGTAAATGATCCATCAATTCATGAAACATTCAAGTCCATGATCAGTTCGCCAGACTACCAATCCCATAATTGACTCAAGGCAACGCTAACATATTCGCTGCGAATGCTATCAACGCGAAGAGGTCGTTAACAGCATTATTTAGATCCGTTTTTAATCTACCGAAATACTGTCACATTCGTGCGGTATCTCCGACCGTACCGACGTGAATTAGGGCGTAGCCGTAGGTGAAGCCCAACTAACAACTCCCACAGGTGCCACATCCAAACGGCAAAACCAAATCTTCACATAATTAGTACAGCGTCAGGAGAGAGCTCATAGCAAAACTGAGCACCCCAGAAGTGAATAAAAACAAAACGCTGACGTCTTTAACTAAAAAAACATTTTTTCGTATTGTAAGTTGATACATAAACGTATATGCGATGCGTACATTTGTCAAAAGACATTTCAAATCATTGCGTCACATTTGACGTGTGATATCCGTGCTTTAACCAGTACCTACACACCCCGTTTTGGCGCCACAGCGTCAAAGGGGGTGTTAGCTGCTAGTTCGAAATTTAATTGTGCACGCATAGGTTGGACATGCCATATTTAGACAGCAGTACGGATTTACGGAATTGCTCCATAATTGGACAACGGCTCTCTTCTAGCTTATGGAATTGAAATTGTCCCGCAACATTTACATGAAGCTTCTGATTTATCATCATAGACATTCGCAAATATTTCCTGTGGCTTTTTTCGTCAGCGACTGCAGCATTTTTTCAAAAGTTTTGTGACGTAACAGTTTTCACGCCATCGTGTCCGAGTTTAGAGCGCCCCACTTCGCCGAGACCATCCTATTTGAGACATTCGATTTCATGGCAGACAGGCAGCTTGGACCTGGTTCCATGGATAAAGGACCGCGGCCTCAACAGCGCCAATGCACCACTGCAAGGTCTGTGGTGCATCCATTGAGCTGCTCCAACTGTTTGGCTGGTCGCCAGCAGACGTTCAGCCGATATGGTCTGAAATCGCTTGCAAGCTTATGGTATACCCACCTTTCATCTAAAATTTAAATGAAACTTCTGCTTATTTATGCCCTGGGTGAGCTATGCCCACTTTACTTTCATGTGCACAAACGTAGTGTTCACCAGGATCGCTCCGTCATTGTACACTACCAAGTCATGAGCCTTAAGATCCTCCCTTTGAAAAGATACGGACCACCACGAGTTATCATTATCGAACAGTTCGGAAGGCTACAACGTTTAAGCTGGGAGGGCTGCAATGTTGGGTTCTGGCTCAAGGTACCGATGTAATAAGTCAGGCCGGGCTGTAATGCACACGCTATGTTTATAACCGGTTGCGTTCCACGCAAGGCTACGAGCGTAGTCACATCACATCACATGCATTCACGCCTGCTTTTTATCTTGCTCGCTTGCATTTGCACACTGCAGCATGCACCGCATCCGTCTGAACCGGAATGCACCGAGCTTCGTGTCGTGCAGCGTCTGTGTTTACCTCCAACCGTTTCCCCGCCGTTTTGAACTGACCAATCCCGGAATCACTCCTCATCCGCGCGTGACGTCACTGGTTATTGTCGCCATATTCCGCCATTCGCCCGACCTCCAAATATGGTCCGTCCGCGCGGCCGAGCCGACAGACCCCATCAGCTGGCTTGCCCTCGCGTGCCGCGTGTGCCGAGATCGCGCCGGAGGGGGGAGGGGGGCAGTGCAAGCCCAGCGGGAGGCGACCGAGGCCAGCGGGGCGCCTGGTGCCACGTGGCCAGACCGTTCGAACGGACCGCGCGCTGGCAGGCGGTTGGTGGCTGGCGTGCAAACAGCCGACGACCGGGCTCGGATAAACCATTGGCTAGCGACCGCACTTCTGGTGGCCGCCACAAGAGCAAGGGAATAATGGGGTTGACAACAACTTTTGGGGAAACCCGTCATAACGACCACGACGGCGAGCGAGAAAAGCAAACTAGCACACCTATTCCCATCACGTCCCGTGCGATGCACCAGTTCCCGCGCTCTTGCACCGCGTGACCGTGGCAGCAGGTGTAGCTGAAACGTCCCGACTGTGAGGGATGATGGTCCACACTTTGTCCCCATTGCGGATGCGGGGCTGATGACTATATGAATTGCCACGGTTTAACGGTGACCATGCTCCATGCTTCCTAGTCTATAACCAACTAGGAGGCAAAACAATGGCAAGTAATCCTATCTGTCAAAGAGGAAAGCGCCCCCCCCCCCCCCCAAGCAACATAATTAAAATACAACACGCATCTACCGCAGTGCTTGGAGGTGCCGTCAACTGCGTGAGCAGAACGCCCTTTCTGTGGGAGGAACCTCGAAGGGTGCTAGGTATATTTTAACGTAACACATGCACAGATGATACTTGGCAACGAACCAGCATACCACTGAGCAGCAAATGCCAGCAAAATACCGCAACACAAGTTATCGATATCGCGCCTAGCACACTGCCAAACCACAATATCGGAATTTTCGTCAACAACCACCGCCAACTGTGGCTGTTGCCGGGCTCTACACATTGGCACCGCACTGCCTAATTACTAAGCTGTACATAAACAAACGGGAATCACGACTGTCACGCACAGTTCACTAAAGAGAACATCGACACCCAACCCGCACCACTCACATCAACCACTCATACTGCGGTGCTGGTGGAAGTGTCCCGAGTGGACTTTTGTCGCAGCAACATACACTCCGCAGTCAGCTGGGACCAGCCCTCACATACACATGGGTGTTGGAATAATCCACCTGGAAGCATTCCTGGTTCCTGTACGGCACACACTAACAGCTGATTTGCCAGTTTATGAAGGCGCAAAATAACCCCTAAACTCGTATAACGTACTTATGACTTGTCAGGCATGTCAAGGAAATTGAACATAGCTATACACGCCGCTGAAGCGTATTGTCAATTCAAATTCATGCATAATAAATACAACAACCAGGGTACTGTTTACGGAATATATAACAATGCAGCCTACCGTAAACAAAGGAACGTTCACCAAGCATAAATGTAGACGCTTCAGGGATAATCCACTTTGGCTCGTAACCTGCATTAAGGGGCTTATACAACAGCTCTCAATTTCGATTTCGGATGTAGTAGAGGGAAGGAGGAAGGGAAGGGGAAAGTCGGCGCAAAAAGCACAGCTAAAATGCAATGCAATGAGTTTATGATATCGCTTACTTCGGTTGAGATTAAATAGTGATCGTTCAACTTACGTTGACGACTAGGAATAATGTAAGACTATCATAAGAATCTTGTGGATCTACCGACGTACGTCACCAGACGAGCAGAAATACCTCATTCAAGTTCTTCTTGCCTGATCTACACTCAGTCCTAAAATATGTTGAATACAGCTGGAATCAATCAAGGCCTTTCCCTGAACACGGACTGAATACACCCGTCACGTAGACTCACCACTAACCATAGCTTAACGACGGAGACTGAACAGGTTTAGTCCTTTCACTGACACCAAGCGCCCGTCTCATCAGCACGAGGTGTTAGTGATGGTAACAGATGTGCCAGCCTCCTGCAGCTGGCGTGTCAGGCTGTGGATGTCCCTGATGCAGGGCGGCGACATGGCCGGCGCCGTGGCGCCCGCCGTCGGCGAGCTCTTGCTGCTGTCGCGGGCACGCTCCTCGGCCGATCGCTGCCGCACCAGCGACGGGTTCGGGATGCTGCGCACGCCCTGGCTCTTGGGCCGCTGTGGCAGTGGCAGCACCGGAAACACAGGCCGAGCGGCCGTCGGTGCGCTGGCCGGCGCCGGGCGCGCCAGGCCGGCCAGCGGCGGCACAGCGCTGCTGTAGCGCAGACCGAGCGTGGCCGTCTCGATGTGCAGCGGCGAGGAGACAGAGCGGCCGGCCGCCGCGCCCGACGCCTGAGCCGATACGGGCGCCGGCGCTGCGAACGAGCCGCCGCTGCTGACAGACGAGGGCGGTTTGGAGGTCGGCGGCGGAGTCGTGCGAGGGGAAGAATCGTTCGTTTCAACTCCATTATGAGGTGGAACCTGAAGCTCTTGGTGCGGGGAAGACGACATGAGGCGCTTCTGAGCCAGGGACTCCACGATTGATTGGATCTTGTTAGAGCCCTGACTTTTCTTGGCGCCGGAGATGACGAAGATTGTCTTTGATTCTTTCGAGCCACAGAGACCTTCTGCAGGCACCTCTCTAGCGTGGGTTGAAAGGTCGAGGACATCAGTCGCCGGTCGGGTAATTCCAGTTTTTGTCTGCTCCTTTTCTGTCCCGTTGGACGAGGCTTCAGAGACGTCTTTCGGCGTCTTCTCTGCTGGCTTAACACCCTTTGACATTTCCTCCGGGGGTTTCTTTTTAGAAGCTGTGGGAAATAGCGTATTGGATCCTTGCGGGGATGTCTTGGCTGTTTTAACTGACGTCTGGTGTTTTGTTGCATGGACCCTGGAGACAGGGACAGTTTGCACAGAGCAGTCAACCTTTCTGACTGCTGCTTTTTCTGCCAAGACACATTTTGAAGAGCTTGGCATGCTGCCGTTTGGAGATTTGAACTGGCCTGATTTGCCGAGCCCCGAGATGTCTGGCGCAGACCTTGCCCTTGTTACCTCTGGACGGCCAACCAAAGACGCTCCATTCGTGGCCTTCTGTATTCCGTCTCGGCCTGAACTGTTTCGACAGTCAGACGCGCTTCTCTGAAACATACTTCCAACGCTGCTGTGCCTGCCGCCGCTCGCAACCTTGTGATCTGCTGTGGCCGAAGACAGCTTATTGGCCTGCTTGCTGGCCAAGTATGAATGCCCAAGCTGTGTGCCGAACACCTTAGGCTGATCTTTTGAGCTGGGGATATCAGTCTGAGATTGCAGCGAATGTGCCACTTTTTGGCTTGGTCTGATGGACACCTGACGAAGCACAACTGACGGGGACTTCGTCATCGAATTCGGCACGTTCTTCACCTTCAGACTTGATTCCAGAGCCTGACCCTTCAGCAGATTCTTCGCTTTCTGGCAAGCCTCGATCAACGACGGCCTCGGCTTGCTCATGAGTTTCTGACTCGCATTTTCAGGCGGCAACTTAGGCCTGGCGTCAGGTCTGGAGCACGGTGCGACGGCTGACGACCGCGGCTGGCTGCTGACTCTGTGTGTAACAGCAGCCGCCTTGCGACGTCAGTTGGCTGACTGTTGTTACTTCCACAGGGTTTGACAACCGCACGATGACTGTTGACTCTTTCCGTGGGCTTCACTACTGACTGATTATTGGGCGTTTCGACGGACTTGACAGTCCGCCCCTGCGCCTGGCTGCTGAACTTCTCGTTGGGCTTGGCCATTTGGCTCTGCGGCTGACCACTGGGCCTTTCGCTGGGCCTCACCATTGCCGGCTGACTGGCGGCTTGATGTCGGGGCCCTGTGGATGGCAGTGGTGGCGTGCCAGTGTCTGTTTGGTTGAATGAAGCGGGCGGGGATTTCGGTTGGCTGCGTTCCTCGCCTTGACATGGTTTCGCTATCTCACTGCGAGGATGGCTGGTAGAACATTCCCCGGGACCTGACGCATTTGCGCTGAGCTTCCAGACCTTGGGTGGGGGTTCTCCCGCCGGGTCCAAAGCGACAACCTTTCGTTTGCTGACTTTGGTCTTCGACACCCGAAACAGCAGCTTCAGAGCCGATTTCTGAAAACAGTCAAAGGTGTACTTTACTGTCGCGTAGCAGGCACCATAAAAATAATTGGATAATTATTAACATCTATCTTTTACGTCCAACAAAATCACGCCTCCAGATATTTTCGCTCATGGTCAAGACTCTCACCCTGCTCCAGTTCACGATGTACGCGACATCGAGCAGCGTGACATCAAGCGGTAGCACCTTCCTGCCGTGGATCAGCTCCATCTGCGGACGGCGAGCAACGGTCAGTTCGGTGCCACGCCAACGCCCGCCGCAATCGCGACAGATCACTGTCGCCTCCGCCGGACGTCCAGTTTTTTTGCCGTAATTCCGCGTCACGGCTCACAGCACGTACAGTACCGGTCGGACGACTTTGTCTGCTCCCCCTCCCGCGCCGACCAATAGTGAGCGCCATTCAACCCATCGGCATTTTTCCGACCGAACTGTGCACCCCCGGATGCCGTACTTCCCAGCGGCCGTGCGGCAGCATGTCGTCTCACCTGTAGGTTGTCCGTGAACCGGTACTTTTGGTAAAGGAATTTTTTTAGTACAGCCAGCGGCAGCCCGGCCGGACAGCGCAGGTACCGCACTGGCACCACCTCCTCCACACTGCAAACCACACGATGAAGGTGCGTCACGTCATGTCATCGCGATCAAATGGAGAGCAAGATTCGCTAAAAATGCATGCAAAGTGACCCTTATTGTCCGTTCAAAGAGTGCTCCACATTTGTATGAGGTTTGAAATGAGACAGCCACCTTGAACATCATTCGGTGCAGTCCACAGCTTGCCCCTCTAAGACCTTAAACTATTATAGCTTCTGTACTATACGTCCGCGAAGATGTGCAGCCTTTTCCGGATAGGCTACTTCAAGGTCACCAAGGCAACCGCGACCCTGTAGTAACGGCATTCATATCCTGCTACACCATTGGCCATGCAGCGAACAAGGCCAATAAAGGCATAATTTCGGGTCGTTCATATCTGGCGTTCGTGAGCACAATTGCCAGATATAACGACCGTCAATTGGCTCTCCATCACTGTTGTGCAAGGTGCGATGACGCAATCAAACAATGACGTATTGAGAAGCACGTGTACTAAGCAGAGAAGTTGGACAGGTTAGCGTAGTCCCTTCCACTTAAAAATATACCGATACTTATATGTGAGCTTATCTCGCCACGTCTGATGCTTGCTTCAATACCTTCAAATGTGGAGCATTCCCTTTAAGCCCCAATCTAAGCTGCGCTCCCAGACGCATGCCACTTAATCCTTCAGATACAAAGACTTCATCCTCTTCCATAAGACAGCAGACCCACGTGCTGTCCCTTTTCATGCACAGCTTTACCTCGATTCAGTTGAAGCCGTGCATTGATACAGGGGGAGGGGGAGCGGTGCCAGCCCTGCATGCTAGATGCTGCGACGATTTTCAGAAGATATCCAGACGATAAATATTTTTATTCCAGAATATATCCATTTTTATCCAAAACACTAGGAAGTAAAACGTTCTTATGTCGTGAATATCACTGAGCTGTTGATGTAACCAATACTTGCTTGATGTCATCGTTAAATCAGTACCCCCAGGTACAGCGAAGGTCGATTATTGTCAGCACGATACCTCCTAAATCGAAATGCCGAAAAAATAGAGCTCAAGAGCCTTTCTTGCCCGCACTGTCCGCAGCCAACGGGGGTTTTATAATGTTGTACCATGCTTGTTTAAAGCTTCCCCCTCAGATCTGGTAAGGTGCAAACCTAAATGCACTAGTCACTGAGACTTAAACGGAGTTTTCCACATTTGTACGAGGTTTTGAACTGAAAAAGCCATCTTTCGTTGCAGTTCTCAGCCTTGCCTTTCTCAAGACTTAAACCCCCCTAGTTTCTGAGCTAGAGACCAGCAAACATGTGAGGAGTTTTTCTGAGAGTTTCTGGGACTAGCGCATTTCAAAGCAACCATGGCATTCATGAGGTCATAACACCATTCAAATCTGCCACTTCCATAAGCCACGCGTGAACAGAGAAGCCGTGTGGTCTAAGGCAGTCTTTCCACTTAAAAGTATACCAATGGTTATAAGTTAGCCTATTTCATCATGTCTGATGCTCGGTTCAATATTTTCTAACGTGGAGCATTCCCTTTAAACATCACCCCATCCCCGGTCAACCAGGTTTCCAACGCGGTTTGGTTCGCGAGCACACTACCCGCATACAACCGGACATTAGATTGGCCGTCACGCCAATGAAAAATGTGCAAGGTGTCGGATCAGGATAACGACTAGTTCATCACTGTCATTTAATACGGTATAATATATGCCACTTAATACGGCTTGGCGTGACAACGCATCCAGCTGGCTTGCATACACAGGTCCCCAGCCCCGGCGCCAAATGCACGACAAACAAAATCATGGCGTGGGAGATGGTCGAGTGACCATTTAATGCTTTCACAGTTGCATGGCTGAAACTATGCAGCCGTTTGAGGGGCTAAAACCTTCCAATGCCTGTGGAACGGGACGGAAGGCTTGTGAGCGTCCGTTTACAGAGAACTATCTTTGAGCCCAACGAACCGTTCCATACATGGTAAGTTTCATCACTTGGTTTGGAACACTCCTGAACGCGTCTTACCGCTACTGAATGCAATATTAACGTGAAGGCAGCGTGATCGTAACAAGCAGAATGTAATCGAAACCTAACTAGCAGCGTATAATCGTGTGAAGGCATGCGAGCGAGCCATTTGCAGCGACTAATGAAAAAAAAGATTGTTCCGAACTTATCATTGTCTGAACGACGTTCAGACCGCGTCGTTTGCTCCGATAAATTGTAAATTATCCTCCGCATGCGGAGCACGTTTTTTGTCCTAACCCCCGCCCTGTTCGGGGGAGGGGGGGGGGGGTCGGTGCGATGCGAGGTTTTCTGAGAACATCTCTCCTGCATGTCGTGTAATCACACCCAAACTTTTGGTAGCCTATGGGGTACTCATTGTGCATGTTTCGACATGAAAATGCGCCTCAAGCCTTTCTGGTTTTTGCGAAGCGACGGTTGTAAAGGAACACTGCACGGCGATCTACGGCCGACACCGGCGGCGGGCGGCAACTGAAGGATTCGGCGATCACGTGCGGGGCTAATACTGTCACATTAATGGGGCGCTGCATCATAAATGCATGCTCAAAACACACACAAGTACATATCGACGCGCTCAGGATCAGGCTAGGGAAACCGTCTGCGTCTTATTTCGCTTCGTGACATGCTTTCACATATATCGGCAAGCACAGCTGGAATTACTTGATTTTCGGGGTAAATTGATATTTGACTGGACCTAATGGGGCGAATGAATTATTGACCCAGGAGCAACAAAAATATTACCAATCGCACGGTCTCGTCAGGACGAATCAAATATTTATTTCCGTGAGGCTTTCTTCTTTAGTTTGGAAACGATAGTGCGGATGTAACGACCCTTCCCCTATCAAGTCCCCCCCCCCCCCCCGTCAGTCCGCGTTATGAAAAATGGCGAATCAGGGCGGGGGTATCTTACCTATGTGAAGCATATTGAATTCGCACGTCGATCGTGTCGTCCGGTGCGTAAAACCGGGACGACGCCTCTTCCTGGGCACCCTTCATAATCGGCGTGAGATCGGGGTCTGCGAACGAATCGTCAGATGTCATGCCCGACGTCCCGCCCGTCCAATGCTGTGACGCCTTGTTCCCGACAGAAATTCATCATCAAACTTTGCCATTCATATACGCAAACTACCAGCAGAGTGATTGACAAGAAGTTACCCACATGGGCTATGTCGTATGACGCAGACGACGTACATTATATGCATATAATGTGTATTACGTACCCGTCAACATGGAGGTATGGACGAGGACATAAACAGTCATCGAATGATCGGTTAAATGTCACCTACGAAAAGGCAAATCACAAGCGTCCAACCCATTACCATGGCAAGACGCAATACCTAACGCTAATAACCAATGACGGAATAAGGGAAATGGTAAGCACGGAAACACCAAGGCTCTTAATTTGGAACTGACATTGGCATGTGGTCACAGGTCAGGCTTACGCAGTTCACGACAGTAGGCTTGTTCCCACAAATCTGTCGGAAACGAGTGTTTTCGTTTACTTCGCGCACAAGAAATCAACAATTCCAGGCATAACCACTAGTCGCCTTAGACTGCTGTAGAAACAGAAGCATATAACGCGACTTAAGGCCTCTCTGGGAAAAACCAATGCCTTCGGTTCTTTGCTCATGGCACTGGCGCCAGCGCAATCAGGTAGAGCACTCACCGGCGCCAGGTTTATCCCGGTAGAACTGCTGCCGTCGCCCCATCTCGTCCCGGTATAGACCGGGCACGGTTTTGTAAACTATGCTTTGTAGGGTGGTGTCTGGCCTGAAGCAAAATATACCTTAATACGGTAAATCGGCCCTGGGACGGTGCAACATGATGGTGAAGTGATGTCACAGCAGACACGTGCAGCAAACGCATTACCGTCGCAAGGACTGGAAAACGCGGCAATTCGATAGCCGGTCGGGGCTTTCGTCAGGGCTGAACTGCAGCGAGGTGGACAAAGCGATGACACAAAAGCACGGCGGGAGTCAAAACTCGTTTCGGGACAACCTACCCGGATGTCTTGTTGCGCGCCTTGTGCATGCTATTGCCTGATGTTAAAGTTATGGTCCCATCACCGGGTCAGTCGCCTCGCTGGTCGGTAGTCCAATCACCGCTTAAAAATAGTGGGCGTGGATGGATTAAAGATGCTTGATGTGTCCATATGTAAATGCTTCAATGAGAGGTGTGTGTGTGCAGACGCCCTGATGTACGCGTACATTGCTTACATCTGCCGGAATATTTCTAACCTCAAACTGACGGCACCCTTGGTCCTGTGTATCATGACGTCACAGGTCAGAGCCGGACAGTAGATGCTGGCCTCCAGGTGACGCAGAATGCATGAGCGACAAACTGAAACGAAAGTAGAAAACGTAGGTCTTCATGATGAGCGCAAACAATCAGTAACTGGCTGCCAACTTGCTCTTTTCCCCCCACTCCTGTAACCTGTTGAAGGAATTTGAATGAGCATTCCAGCTTTAACACCAATTGAACAAGGGCGCCACTCCTGGGTGAAGCGGTACAGCGCGGTGTGCTTACATGTGTGCAGGCATTCGACAATCGTGGTGGCGTCGATGTAGTAGCCTCCGCAGAGAGTGCACACCAGGTGGGGAGTCAGGTCGGCCACGCCCACCGCCCTCTGCGGCCGACAGTCTGGGATCGCCTCCATCCCCGTCACCTGGCGAACACAGCGAAGTCAACAGCACACCACCGTTTCTAGTGATGGACTTATATGCGTGAAGATCTTCAAGTTACGGGCGATATACTGAGAAAACCGGCAATATTCTTGCGAGCCTCCTGAACTGATCGTGCGATGAGTTCCAACAACCGTTACGTTATAGAAAGATACACAATAATACTGACATCGGGCTGGCATAGCAAACAGGGGTCAGCCCGAGCCAAGCCATATTGGGATCAGTAACTGCAATTGGTGATCAGTTTTTGCATCAAAGCCACCACAGCACTTATATTCCGCAAGAGCACAGAGAGCTTGAGGCCACCTAGTACATCCTCGAAATAAACACGAAATTCCAAAATCATAAGCTCATTAGATAAGCTCTGACGAGGCCATCGCCAGTATTCTATCCTACAGTTAGTTCTTTTGGATTCACCCTGAACCCCATCTCAAACTGCGACTTGCCCGTTATTTCCGGCATTAACAACTTGCCACAGTCACGAAGTCCGTCCTCATTTCCCTCTCCATCGATGCCCGCCCGCGATCACTGTGCCACAGCCGTGACAACTGTAGTAGCCCGCCGACTCCGCCCTGACATCGTGACAGGCCTACAGCGGTGTGCGCTCGTCACGGAGGGCCATTGTTCCTCGCCGGCCGACGGCCCGGCGCCGGCGCCGTTTTTTACCGCCCTGCAGCGGTCGGCCGGGTCCGTTGACCGGAGCCGCGCCACGCACGCCGCGTACGCCGTCGCCGCGCCGTTACACGCCACACGACCGCTGGAAAGCCACCACGCGCCGTGTGCGACGCTGGAAGCGCATCATACATCTTCCGCGATCGCGTAGCCGGACTAGGACCGGGACCCAGGCATCACAGTTCGTACCGGAAGCGCGTTGAGCGTCATGTTTGTGATTGGGCGAGCATTGGGCGCCACAAGGGCACATATGCCACGCAGGGCCCAAGCGTTAGCCGTGGTAGTGATACGGCACATGAGGACAGCTGCGCCGCAAGCATCATCGAGCGCCATTCGCGTTATCGGACAATCAAGTTCCGAGCAACACAGTCGGCGCCGAACGATGCTCGGTGGCAGACGCGCCGCCACGCTAAACGACTGGGGCAGGGCTTATGCATTTGCTTCGACCTGTGTTCATTTGCTTAGGCCAGAGCCAAATTCTTAAGGCTAATGCTTAGGCCAAATTCCATTCATCGCCATAAGCCTAATGTAAAACTCTAAGGCTATTGAGGGCAGGACCGCAGTCAGGGTTTTCTTCATGTGGGGCGGAGCCCGGTGAGTGCGCATCACGCCGATTATAAACTTTCTGTCGGGAGCATGCATGGTGGAATACGACAACAATAATCCGGTCTTAAGGGGTTCCTTGGCTGCGCCCCTGATTAGGGACCTGAGCCCCAACAGGTCACGCCATGACCAGACTTGTGTCTGACTGCGGTTGACCAGGGTCGAATTTGACCCCGAGTCCCAGTATGCAGAGTTGATTCCGAATATCTTTACGCGACTCCAGCGATTCCGACTCTTCTCCACACCGGTGTCTACAGATAAGTGGAGTCAGCTCTGAACTAGCAATCTTTTCCTAATTCAGGGACAGCTCACTCCAACGGAGCTGGCTCAAACTCCTTGACTTAAAGCACTGTTCGCATAAATCGCTTTTCACTTGTCCAACATACGCTACACAGTCGACACCCGTGACCAGCGAGCGATGAATGTACACACAAAAATGGTCCCCGTCGCACGCGCCACCGGTCCCATCAAATGTATTTCCTATGTAAATATGTGCGGGAATAAATGTTAACAAACACAAATTCCAGGAAGATACCTAAGACTTCACAGATGGAGAGCACCATCTGTTTTACGCAATGCAAGAAGTTCCGCACGCCTGCAGCGCGATAAGCTGGGCTTTACCTGAATTCTGGGGGTTGTGTCCATCAGCAACTGCAAAATCATGCACACACCCATGCCATAAGCAAAAACTTCTAAATCACCATCAACATTGTTTTACAAACGAGGTCAGGACCGAAGTGTCGTGAAGAATGGGTTGCGAGGCGGCCATTTGTATCGTGGTATTAATAGCTACCAGACGCTTTGCAGTGAATTCGGCGCGGAGAATTGGCGGATATTCTAAATGAACAGCTGTCATCGCATGCGGCGATTTTCCGAGGTTCCCAGTGTTGGCATGCTTTTCCACTGGAAACACTTACTCCGATTCGAACCACACTAATTTGAATTATGATCCGCCCATTTTTAGCCATCACTCACTCACTATTTCATCACTCACTCATTAGTCAGTCAATCACTACCTTGCTTCCTTAAGCATCACGCAGAATCCACCACGTTAGTTTGCTCAAATTCGAATCTATTCAAAAGTGATTTCATTCGAATCATGATTTGACTCCCGCTGGTATTAATTCCGAATAGCTCCGATTCATTTGGATTCGAACGAAACGGAATGGAAGCAAGATGGAAGGAGCATTGAAAACAGAGCGGGAAACCTTTCGGGCGGCGCATGCGGCTTTTTGGGCATTCTAATCCTAGGTCGCATGATGTCATTCCATGGTTCTCGAGGCGATGCTTTGTTCAAACATCAACCTTGCTCTATCCACGTGTTTCCGTGACAACGTAAGGAGCGAGCGTACGAGCAAGCCAACGATATGCCCGCAGCTATGTGCCGGTTCGCTGTAGGGTAAGGCCCGGTGACCACCATTTCATAAGTGCAGGAGAAGCGATAACCAATCCCGCTTCAAGAGCGCTGTATTACCAAACAGTCGAAGTGCCAACAAGTCCGACTTACCATCACTGACACGGCACTGCCAACGCCGTCAGCTCAACGATAGCCGAACTCTGCCGATCTCAGCTAACTTGCAACCCGTCCCGCCCGCCTATCATCTGTGCCGGCACCGTATGTCTGCAGGCTCGTGCGACTGTCCCGCGCGGTAATCAATCACCCGAAGCCACATGGCCTCTCACGCTGTCTGTCTGTGATTGTGCTCGAGGCGACAAACACTCATCTGGAGCTGGCGTGACAATCCCGCGAGCGTCGTTCGCTGACGTCTCTGGAAACACTGCAGTTGACAAGTAGCTTCCTGAGCGATGGGATTTTCATGTTCGAATATGACAGTGAACACCCGTGTTACCCACGGAAGCGGGAGCTATCTGTTGAGCACACAGTCCACTTCGGAGGATGTCACAAAAATCCTATGCAACGAGTAGCGTTGGACTAGTTTCCACCGCACATGACGCTAGAAAATGCACCTGATCCGCTCGAAGTATGTAATGCCTACGCAATTAGCGTTGATCACCTTCAAATGCAAACGTTCGTCGAGACTAGCATTCCATTTACGTGTGGCGGGATCGTAACTCTATTGCCGATTAGCCACTTTGTTTGTATGCACGGCGTGACAAATCAACCGCATGGCGTTTTTGGCGTGCCTACGGTCGACGTCTTTCATCTTATGCGTTGAAGTTTCAATTGGCAGATTCCCGCTGGTTTGAAAAATTGAATCCTGCGTTCGATTTAAGGCACAAAGCTCAGCGTCTACGAGCATGTCAAAAGTCAAACCCAGTTTAGAAACCGATTCCTTCCATGCAACATTAAAGGGTGCTAACTTTTTGTAAACAGGTGGGGCGGCCATAGCCCCCAGGCCATCCCAGGTTCCAAATCCAGGACACTACCGGACAGGACAATTAAGTAAGTATGAAGATACCTTGAGTTTGAAGCTGCTAATCAATGTATTTGTAACGAAGCGTTTGAGTTTCACTTGGACTAAACACGTGGCAGGCTGTCATCGGAGGCAGCGTGACGAGGCATGCTCTTGGACAAAAGATGAATTCTTCCGGATGTTATATATATATATATATATATATATATATGTATGCATATATGCATAAAAATATTATATACATTCATGTGAAATGTATATATGTGTACGCGAAAGAAGCAAAATACATGCATAAAAATAAAATACATTTATATTAAATGTGTATATATATACATATATATATACATATATATATATATATATATATAATGTATGGGAAAGAAGAAAAATATATACATAAAAATAATATATAGTTTATTAAATATGTATATATGCATCTATATATATGTCCATCAATAAGGCAGATAATGCTTCACCATGCAAGCGGTCCCAAGCATGGGTTAGCAAAACAGCAAAAACACAAACTTATACACTGCTGGGAACTAGTAAAAGAGGACTGGACGGGGAGGGTTTGAAAGCATTGCCTCTTGATCATAGGCCACGCATCTGTCTGGCAAAACAGGGTGCAAAGCTCTACCCCGGCCAAAACGGAAGGCCGGGATAGCCACGCCTTTCCCTGACACCATGGATACCTACATGTCAACTAGGTACTTTTCCAGCCTATGCAGGAAATTTTTTCGTTTGGTCACAACGAGCGGAAAGCGTGTCGAACGGTGTCTTGGTGAGATAACCCAGCACTTGTTTTCAAGAACAGCTAAAGGCCCAACCTACTTGTCCTATTGGTACGTCACGCAGTCCTCAGGCCATGACAGTGCTCCATGCTAAGACAATTATAGCACTCCAGGCACGGTACGTGGTTGCCGAAACAGCCAAGGACGCCCAATTCCATTATACGTTCCTAACATTGCCAGGGTGCCTGGGAGTGACCACGCTACCTGGGTGCGTAAGATATTATCTAAAATCGATGTGGTGGATAGCAGGATATGTGCTGGATAGCATGTCATCGCACGCTTCCAACCCCCTCTACGACATTTTATGGCATTTAACAGCGGGCACGACGGCAGACTGCTCCGAAACAGACGACAGCCATCAAGCCCATGCGGGCGTCACGAGCCACTGCTGTACACCATTTGAGGCAGGATAGGAGCGTCTTTCCCTGACTCGTTGCAGGTAACGTCCATGTATGTCTTCGCGTTACCAAACTCTGCTAAAGTGCGGGGGCGCGGCCCACACTCCCCCCTTCCTGTTGCTGCATCTTCTCACGGGTTTTGCCGGAAGCGCGGTGCTTTCGCTTCCTGCGCACAGCCAGCTGTGACCCGAGTCAACTTCGGCGGTATCTTCCGACCGTTTCCGCAGACGATGCATGCGTTAGATCGCGGACGCGGCCAGGAACACCCACAGTACCTTCAGGCTCCGCCACCGTCTACGAACAAGAATGGTTGGCCAAGTGGACCACTGGTGAGAAAAAGAACGTGTACAGTGTACAAAGGTAGCGGTGTAGTCCCGAAAATTACGCTCGTGGTTCTCAACTCGCTTACACAACTGGATGAAATTCACTGACACCCTCACCTTCCCAGGATGCTGAGTACGGTGCACTTATCCGCCTTGACAGTGCGATTAAACTATGTCGATTACCAATACTTCATATGCGCGCACATGGAAATCGGTGCAATGTTCAGAGTGGCTTCGTAAAAAATCGAGCAGTAAATGCTCACGTAATAATCACGTACCCAGCAGGAAAAACAACGCCGCAAACGCACAGTAATCGATCGACGGCGTTACAGTGCGTAGTGACCAAATCAATGCGCTAAGAAAATACGTATGTTGTAAAGTACACTTGCCAGGAACATTACGTATTTAGTTAAAACAGTACTGTTAGCCCTGTTCTTCATAGCATAACCCGGAGAAAGGACACAAGATGCACTACTATTTCGGCTGCACGTCTTTATTGCAACGAATATGAGTCATCTACTCATATTCGTTTCGATAAAGCATGTGGCCGAAATATCAATACATACATTTCTTCCTCCTGGTGATCCTACGACGAATACGGCAAACAGTGCTGTCTTATCGCTATGAAAGTACATTAGCAGAGATGTAACAAAATGCATAACACTCACAGCTTGTCCAAGGCGAGCCCGAGCAAATGCTCACATCTAATCCTCTACAGTCTATTTATTTCTCTGGTGGATCTACCACCACGTCCTGGCTTTGAAGCACGTCATTTAATACAAAAACGGAATACCATCACAACATCCATCAGTCATTGGCAAAACATTGAGGGTGATGCAACACACCCCGATCTCTTCACCACATGCACCAACTCTCCAACGCAGTGCGACACCTGTCAACATGCCTTCCTAGTAAAAACACAGGCGCATTCCCAAGCTTGACCGGTCAGCACTGCAAACTTCATCGGACAGGCAACAAAAAGAAATACTGCAAACTCGTAAAGAGGGATCTAGTGAATAAAGGCCAGTGACACTCATCACACCAAGCATCCAGCACACACGCCCCCACCGTGCAAACAGGGACTATCTGCACCCCCTCTCCCCTCCCTGTTTGGGCCGTACGCACCGGGCGCTCCCTTTCATGTGGTCCCGGCGCCATCTTGCCGCTAAGCTGCTGATGGTTGTAAAAAGCACGCCTAGAAAACACAAATTGCTGAGCGACCAGAGCAGGTAGAAACAAGAAAAGTATATCACAACATACCTGTGATGAAGCGCTAGGTGACAGTATGTCGATACAGGCTTAGAAGCGTTGTTTTCCGCTGTCAATTTCGATTTTCCTCGGAGCTTCCAGCGGCCCGCCGCCCCAACACACGTCGGCTTCACACTGCGTTTGCGGCGCCGGCGCGCCGGTCACGTGACAAAGTCCCGGATGTGGCGGCGGCCGCGAGAGGCGGGCGCGCAGCGAGCGACACTATTGATAAACAATTCCTTTGCCTCCCGGGGAACTAATTGCTGATTAAAATGGCTGAATAGTGCACACTGGGCAAAATGTGCGCAACTGGCATGCAGTGCTCAGTATAACGCAAAAACGCCACAGGAGCGCGGGAGAAGATCTCGATCTCGATGGGGAAGTCTGACGGTGGATCGGATCCGTGCCACTGTACGCGAAATGCTCGTCCCATCTCTCGTATACTCTTCGGGAAGATCTATTAAAATATCTTGCCAAAAATTGCTTGGCTTCCTACCTACATAGCGAAAAGAAGCAGACTGGGGAAAGACAGCTTTGCATGTTTAAATGCAACAAAAGATGAGCGAGGGCTTCTAAACAGACATGCTTCGTTGCTACGAAGTGCTATCTATCGGATTCTTCGCATTTCACTTGCCTTTATGTGGACAAATCGTATGTAGGGCAATCGTTTGTATCATATTTATCGCGTGGTCCCATATCACGGTTTACGACATGATTTTACGAGACATATCCAGCAAACCATGCTCATACACGTTTAAAACGTGCCTGCTGGCCGAGTTATCCTGGCGGGCGCAGGTCACTGTCTGAATATGAATCGCTGTATTAAGCTGTTAAAAAGAGTGTGGCTGTCTGGGAGGCCTTTGACGTCAGAGAAACCTCCATGCTCGCAATTCGTAGCAACAGGAGTGTTTCAACGTTGTTGATAGAGGCTGCAGCGGGTGACTAAAATATCGAAGGCGTAAGATTGATATTTTTGAATAGCTGCTTCAGAAAAGAACTGCCATGGTACTTAGCTACCTGAATAACATGCAAAATATCATGACACTGTGCGTTCCGTTTTATCTACCACGAGTGCATTGTTATAGCGCAAGGTATTTGGAGTATTCTACGCCTAATTAAGCTCATTGATGCTTTCAACCCTAGTTCAACATCTTTAAAAAACGCCTTCTGTATTGACTTCATCCTTTACATTCATGCTGGCATCGTCTTGTCGTGATGGAAGATGTGATGGCAGCCAGCAATATTACAAGCGACGGCGTAGGCCAGGCTTGTCTTAAACCTCGCCCTGATTCGCCGTTTTCATGACACAAAGTGATAGAGTGGAGGGGCTTGATAAGACCCCCTAGCGTTTCCAAACTAATGAAGATAAAGCTTAGCGGAAAAAGCCAGTGTATTGGTCTCAACAAGATTTCGCGATTAGCAGTAGCGACTCGAGATTGAGAACTCGATATTAGATCCCGCGATTACATTATGTGTGGTCAGGTCGATTATTGACCCCATTTTGCCCGGTCAAATGCCATATTTTCGTGAAAATCACACTTTTCAACTTTACAACATGGTACATACGAGACTGTGCCTCGCAGCGATACAAAACGTAAACAGACGTGTTTGTTGTTTAGTTTTGAACACAGTGGTCCATGTTGTTGTTTGCTTTGAGCATACATCTATTATATATGACTCCATCAATGGAAGGATGCTGACCCACCACGCGCGTTCTGCGACATCGTCGAATGCTGCCCGCCGCCCGCGCCGGCCGTAGATCACTATGCAGTGCTCCTCCAAAACCGCTACTGCTCCAACATCAGAAACGCTAGGAGCACGTTTTTGCTGTCAAGACAAGTGTGAACGGATGCCCCATAGGCTACTGAGAATTTTTACACGATTGGATGACATGCCAGAAAGGAATCCTCAAAGAACCTCAGGGGGAGGGGTTGCATTGACCCCTCCGAGGGCGAGGGTTCAAAAACCGAAAATTGTTTCAGGCCAGCTCTCCCGGCAAGCGCATGCGCGACCCAGCCGGTTAATCACCAATCATATGTTCATGCGGGTTCGGCAACGTCTAATAGTTCTTTTAAAGACACACCTTAACACACGCTCGGATGGGCGGGGGTCAATTTGACCCCCCACAACTCGAGGGTTTTTCCGAAATGGTTCCGAAACGGCACGGCGTAACCACGCAAAACGTTGCCTACTTATAGATAATGGCGTACCAGATCGTTTGGTACCAAAAATTGAGAAGTGCCGTGTAAGGTCGCTGACCTACGGCAGGTCAAAGACGGGCCATGGATTCAACAAAGACAATTCCTCGTGAATTATTCAGTCTGATGCAGCAACAGAGTGTTAAACGAGGCCATAGATCTTTGGGATAATTGCTTAGGTAACAAAGCAACTGTATAAGTAAATTCAATTGACCGAGGGTCAGGTATTAAGGTCAGACCAAAGTAAAAACCGACCTGTTTTATTACTCTGGTGCTTGCTGTATGAGGTAGCTTCTGGTGCTGTTTTCGAATATATTTAAAACAAGAACCAGATTCTACATCCTCCGAGGACTTCTTAAAGGATAGAATAGGTCACAACGAATAGGTCACACAAGAAAACTGTAATTGCAGGCTCAGCCAAAGAAAGGGGCGGGGGCCCACCATGGATGTGTAAATAGAGGAGGACAATGGGATTATGCCCCTTAAAATGTTTGACATTTGAGCGAGCATTCCACATTTTATGGGGTTTTTAACTGAAATAGCCGTCTTGAAGATCATTCGGTGCGGTCCACAGTACTGCCCTTCTAAGACCTAAGCCACTCTGGTTTGTTAGTTACACGCCCGCGAAGATGTGCGGACTACTTCGGGGAGACTTTTCAAGGTCATCCAGGCTTCCATGACGCCATAATAACGCTATTCAAATCTTGCAATTCCATTAGCCATACGGTAATCAAGGCAAGGCAGGTATAATTGCCGGGACGTTTATATCTGACGTTTGTGAGCACGATTTTTAGATATAACGGCTCTCAGACAATGTTGCGTATGTTACGATGACGTAATTCAGCAACGATAATTTAGAAAAGTGTCAATTAACATCCCCAGTGGTCATCAGGTGTTCCGGCGCAAAAACAAAACTGCACTGACTCTGATGACAGCATGCAGAAGGGCACAGTCATTTTACGCCATTGATTGCCCGCCACTCCCTCCGACGATTTATGTACCGGTACTAACTACCCTCACGTATATGTAAAACTTTCTCTGATTTGAGTCCTAAAGCTAAAACAGACACAAACTATACTGCTTACATCATACACCATTGTCACATTGATATTTGTGATGGAGGATCCGTCATTTTAAGTCTGGTGTGCATTCCAACGCGATTGAATTCGATATGTCCTCCGCCCTCACCTCTGCCATTCCGACATAACCTTTGCATTGTATATACCAATAGTGTTTTTAGTTTGAGAATTGTCTCTGATATGTTCGCAGATATTGTAGTAAGAATATGTATGATCAACCACATGCCATTAATTATATTTCAAACATGAAAACAACATGCAAACTTAGCTTTCAGCATGAAGCCACGCACTGATGGTCTACAGTTTGTCATGTGCCGCTCTTTGATGTTCGAAATATAATCACTGGCACACATTTGGTCATATGTGCTCTGGTCGCAGTAATGATGGAATTGATGCAGTCTTGGAAGTGCTGCACCAGTGCCCAGTGGTCAGGAGCGCCAAATGGGTTGCCCCCCGCCCCCCCTTACTCACGCTTGGAATTCCAATTCAACTCAATTCACTCAACTTAGCCCCCGGGGTTAGGGAACTGAGCGGTGAAAAATGCTGGGCCTGCCGCTAAAAAAAACAACAAACAGGTTTCCGCCCAGTTTGGATCATTTGCTGCTAAACGTTTGGGGCTGGAGGCCCAGCTTGACGGGGTGGGGGATGGGGGGGGGGGGGAGCTGGAGACCCCTGCACTGTATAGGAAACTTTACCGCTGCCAATCGGTGCTAGGTAAGTCTTATGCACTTCCCGATGTTAAGTGTGACCTCCCGCACACATATGAAAATGTTCCCATGCTTCTAATACAAGTACAATCACAGAAAGATATCATAGTTAGAGCATATCATTTGGACTACACAATTAATGGATCTTAGCGATCTTTACCGGTGAATTGGCCAATATTTTTCAGAGGGAGGATGATAGCCATACTATATTTTCATACTCTACTTTTTATCTCTTCAATATTGCACTTGCCCATATATATCTCCTTTAGATAGCGTGAGTCAAACACTGAGGTCATGGGTGCTGATTCCTCAAAATAATTGGGTGTGGGGGCAGAGTCTTGTAAGTCGCCATATGTAGACTAGACCGAAATTTTTCTCGGTTTTCTCCCACTTTGGTTCTGATTATCTATTGACATATATATATATATATATATATATATCACAGAAAGATATCATAAAGATATCATATATATATATATATATATATATATATATATATATACATAGACATCTACATCTATTACCTGTTTTTAAAGCTCATGTGCGTAGCCCCAACAATCACGTGTGAACACGGGGTATTTTGAATCAGTTTCTTATAAACGCGCCTGTTTTGTGAAGCTTAAGGGCTGCGCTTGCACCTCTCCAGCACACTGAAGAGTGAAATTTGCGCATAATTCACCATACGTGGTTGAGTACTTTGTCGTGTGTGTATATGAATGTGGAATCAGTGTGACCTGGGCAGGCGTTGTGCTCAATTGGGGCCCTGCCTGGAATATTGGCGTGGCCTGGGCAGGTACCGAGCTCCAGCTGTGACCTCCCTGGCCCCCATCTGGCAGGCGCGCTGTATACCAGCTGGGCGCAAGTGCGTACCAGGGATGGGTCCAGCAAGAAGCCTTGCGCAGCAGAGCAGAATACACGGAGTGCGTAGTGCATCCCACGCGGTGGAATGGCTGACTTAACATTTTTAGTGTCGGGTTAGGCTAAGATTTAAAGTAATTGATTTAAAGTTCAAGATTTCGGCCCTAACACCACCTGACCAAAGCGCAGGTCGTTCAAGATGAAAGGTTAGGCCTCTGGCAGTGCGCTGTTTCAGTTTGGGCATATCGCCTACCCTCAGCATGCTTATTAAACAGTTTGAATCCTGAT